TTTCTTTTCTTTCTTTCTTTCTTCTTCTTCTTCTTCTTCTTCTTCTTCTTCTTCTTCTTCTTCTTCTTCTTCTTCTTCTTCTTCTTCTCTCTCTCTCTCTCTCTCTCTCTCTCTCTCTCTCTGTGTGCGCGTGCACACGCGCGTGCACGTGCGTGTGTGTGTGTGTGTCTGTGTTTCCTTTATCATTTACATTCACTCAAAACAGTGTTTTTGATTATTTTAATTCTAATTATATATTACATGCAAATGTTACATCAGCTATAGATGGACAAAAGTGAAAAGGTTGGGGGTGCAGATTCAGATCTCAATCGCTAATAGCTCTGATAGAATTCAGGAGTTTCTTTCTTAATGGATTTACTACCTGTTCCTCTCTCCTGAAAATTATTGTCCTGCCTACTACCCAGCCCCATCTACATCAGATCTGAGGAATGAGTCTTCCTAGCTATGAGGGACATACTATAATATTTAATAAATGATATGTGGCCTCCACATGCATAAAATGTGATGCTGGCAAACAGGGAACTCTGAACAAAAGAAAGACAGTACACCTTCAAATGGAAACTTCTGTCAGGCTGATTAGTTGATTAGAGTTTAATGACCATAAAGAGGTTGGAACATTATAGGTCCAGAGTCTAATTACAGTTTATCTTGGGTGATCTTTAGCTCCCTAAATAGCCATTCCTTCCCCATCTCTGTGTGGACCTAACATCCTGTGACTAACAGATTAAAAACCTTTTGGAAGGTATTAACTTAATAAAGCTGTGGTTTCCACCGACTGAAAGGCCAAGTGTCATCGTATGGTTTCTGAGCCCCATGGTCAATATTTCTCTGCTTTGCTGTAACCACCTACTTAATGTTTCCACTAACGTACTTGAAAAGTGCTTGGATTTTGTATTTTCTTTGTCCTGTTGATATAAACTGCTTCCAGAATGGAACATGGAATTTGACACCACAGCTGTGTTCCAGGCCATGTTCACTCATAGAATGTTCACTCCAGAATAAACTGTCTCTTATCCCCATTGAGGTGAGAGTTGTGTTTTCCCATTGACATTACATTTTGTGATAACTGTGACCCAAAGTGATTCACAGAAAAAGAGTTTATTTCGGCTTGCCGTTCAGGAGGGTGAGTTCACAATGGTGAAGAGGCCTGACAGGAGGAGCCCAGAGGTCACATCTTCAACCACATGCAGAAAGCAGGGTGCAAGAACTGGAAGTGGGGTGAGGCTATGAACCCCCAAAGCCCATCTGCAGTTCTCCAAGGAAGGCTCCTCCCCAAAACCTTCCCAGACATTACCACAAGTTTAGGATCAGATGTTGAAATATATGAGTCTATGGGGAACATTTCTCATTCAAACCACTACTCTACATAAAATTGAGAGACACCCACATTAAATCCATACCATATGATCTTAGGATTAAGAATATTGCTGGATGTAGTGGCGCATGCCTTTATTTCCAGCACTTAGGAGGCAGAGGCAGGTGGATCTCTGAGTTCAAGGCCAGCCTGGTCTGCATAGTGAATTCTAGGACAGCCAGAGCTACATAGTGAGACCCTGTCTTGAAAAAAAAAACAAAAAAAAAACAAAAAAAAAAGAACTAAAGAAAGAAAACGGAATATTGCTGAGTATGGTGGCTTATTACTGTAACCCTGGCATTTGGGAGGCTGAGGATTACTGGAAATTTGAAATCACTGTGCAAACTAGTAAATTCCAAGTCAGGTGGGTCCACAG